CTGCTGCTGTGCTGTGTGCTACTGTTGTCTGCTGCTGTCTGCTGCTGCTGCTGCTGCTGCTGTGCTACTGCTTTTTGCTACTGCTGCTGCTGCTACTGCTGTGCTGCTGCTCTGCTGCTACTGCTGCTGTTGCTGCTGCTGCTGCTACTGCTGTTGCTGCTGCTACTGCTTGCTGCTACTGCTGCTGCTGCTGCTACTGCTGTTGCTGCTGCTACTGCTGTTGCTGCTGCTACTGCTGTTGCTACTGCTACTGCTGCTGCTGCTGCTACTGCTGTTGCTGCTGTACTGCTGTGCTGCTGCTACTGCTGCTGCTACTGCTGCTGCTGCTGCTTGCTGTGCTGCTGCTACTGCTGTTGCCTGCTTGCTACTGCTGTTGCTGCTGCTATTGCTGCTGCTACTGCTGTTGCTGCTGCTGTTGCTGCTGCTGCTGCTACTGCTGTTGCTGCTGCTACTGCTGCTGCTGCTGCTACTGCTGTTGCTGCTGCTACTGCTGCTGCTACTGCTGCTGCTGCTGCTACTGCTGTTGCTGCTGCTACTGCTGTTGCTGCTGCTACTGCTGTTGCTGCTGCTATTGCTGCTGCTACTGCTGTTGCTGCTGTAGCTGTTGCTGCTGGCTCTGCTGTGCTGCTGCTTGCTGCTCTGCTGTCTCACTGCTGTGTATGCTGTGGCTGCACTGCTGTTGCTGCTGCTGCTGCTTTAAAAATACCCTGAAGATACGTTACACGTCTCCGAAAATCTAATTTGAGATCAAATTTATTGCTTGAGTCAGTACGATCTGATCTAACAATAAGTATGATAGATTCCACATCAAAATTCCGTGTCTCAGATTACCAGTGGAAAGTCCAAGAGAGAGTAATTCCACGGGAAGGGAAGGAACGACTTAGGGGGCTGGAAAGAAGGGGATTTCCTGGCCCCACGCTGTCTGGCTCATCGGTGGGGGGGACAGGGGAATGAAAGAGAGGGGAAAAAAATGGGTGGGAAGGGGGAATGGAGGGCTGGAAGAGAATAGGACGAGAGCGTAGAATGACGCCATCTGGGAGAGGCCGCCTCAGGGCTCACATCTTGCAACTTTTTTCTTGTCTCTTATGTTTTTTCTTTATATGGCTTTTGGTGGTGAAGTTGAGGGAAGTTACCTGGTTGATGGTGAAGTTAACTAGTTTATTGGGTAGTTAAAAGTGTCAGGGGAATTCACTTTACCTGCACTACAAGTATCATTGTATTGTCCCGAAATTTAATCTAGTTATCGACAGATTGGAAATTCATTGGAATTGCGCAAGTTAGCTTTATATGCTTAAATTAAACATTAATACACTAAACTGCAGTTTCAGACACTAAACATGCATATAACCCAAGTAACTTATATCGAAAGATGAATAAAAAAAATTATCTTTGATTTTTTTTTTTTAAAAAATGTACACCCAGTGTATTGTTGTAGGTCGCTTACACCATCAATACCGCCCCTCCACACCCCGGGATGGAGGCTATTAAGTAAATGTTTTTTATCGTCTTGCCGTCTTTCAGTCCCGCCCTGCTAGACCCTCCAGCTAAGACAAGTATAATTGAACTTGGATGTTTCCTTTTGGAGAGAGAAGCAGCTTCTATAATAAGTTTTATGGATGCTGACGCAACTTACAAAGTGGCTGTTGGCAACACAGCTCTTCTTTCAAGTTGTGAATATACTGTAAATAGTTGATGTTAAACTTTCTTTAGAGGCTGAATAACACTCATATATTATGATTCACTATGTATATTCGTATATTACGATTCATTATGTATATTCGTATATGATTCATATGTATATCCGTATATTTCGATTCATTATGTATATTCATATATTACTATACATTATGTATATTCATATATTACTATTCACTATGTATATTCGTATATTACGATTCATTATGTATATTCGTATATGATTCATTATGCATATTCATATATTTCGATTCATTATGTATATTCATATATTACTATACATTATGTATATTCATATATCACAAAATCGTGGAGAACATAGACTAATTTCCCTATCATAAAAAGAAAATCACCCCTTTAAATCGAAAATTTCCAAGGAAGGAGCATTTTCAAGACTACCATAGCAGACGAGGGGTGATTTGTGTGTCAATTCCCCTCGGTTGTTGCTCTCAGTGCCGCTCCCCTTCCCCTCACTCTACGATATCCTACACTGAATGTATTAACTCCCCTCAGACCCGGTGGCCTGGTGGCTAAAGCTCCCGCTTCACACACGGAGGGCCCGGGTTCGATTCCCGGCGGGTGGAAACATTTCGACACGTTTCCTTACACCTGTTGTCCTGTTCACCTAGCAGCAAATAGGTACCTGGGTGTTAGTCGACTGGTGTGGGTCGCATCCTGGGGGACAAGATTGAGAATCACAATGGAAATAAGTTAGACAGTCCTCGATGACGCACTGACTTTCTTGGGTTATCCTGGGTGGCTAACCCTCAGGGGCTAAAAATCCGACCGAAATCTTATCATATCACGATGGCGACCTCTACCTCAGGTCAAAGAAAACACTTCTACAAGTATTGCTGGGTAACAATTCTATATTTCTACATTTATATATATATTTGTATTACTGTGTTTCTTGTATTTTGTGTGTGTGTTTAGTTAATTTCTGTAAAGTCAGTTATAGAACATTTTATTCATACGGTGCTAAATTAAAATTTGTGCAAGAAAAGCCCAATTTGAAGACTAACAAGCGAGGTGTCTGTTATTTCGACCCCTTTGTTGGTGCTCTTTAGTCCTTCCCTGAAAGATCCAAGAGCGGTCAGAATAGTAATTAATCAATCAACCGTCATCAAGTCAAACACCCAACTTCACACAACGAAGGCCAATCAGTCAATCCACTCATGCAATCAACATATCGCACGTCATTCACAACCTCAGTAGATCACAACCTCACAATAAGTAACCTGATGTATCAATCACTATCAATGAATCAATCCTACAGTTGAGAATCAATGGATAAGTTAACACTCGATGACTACATTTTAGTTATGCTATCGGGTGGCTACCTCAGGGCTAAATATCACGCATATTTTTTTATTTCACGATGACTGTATCAGGCAAGCCTCCCACTGTCACATGTATGCACGCTAAAACTCCTTGAGTATTTATACACTGTTACCTTCATTTGTTCACGTTCTGGTTTCAGTGTACGTCCTTGGTCTAATTTGTATCACCTGTACTATCCTGGTCAATCCTGTATCACACGTGACCTACCCCTGGTCAAAATTCTGTACAATACCCAATTGGCACTGTCAGAGTCTTATCACACTGTACCTCCTTGTCAACTCTCCCCTTTGTACCTCCTGTCACATCTGTTAGACTGTCCTCCAGGTCCAACTGTGGTCGACAATTACCTCCAATGCACTAATCGTATCACACCAACTCAACATCCCAACCTCAATCTGTATCACACTAACAATCCACCCTCGTCAATCAATCACCTAAACCCAATCCACATGGTCACATCTGTCATCTCAATCATAACCACCCTGATCAATCTGTACACCGTACCATCCATAACCTCACATCATCAACACTCAACTCTCACCAACCTCAATTATCACACCAACCTCATGCATCAACCCACTGATATCAACAAGTACCATCCAACTGGTCAACCTCCCTGTTGTCCATCTGTACCCCTGCAAGTAAATTCAGTTCACTATGTACATCCACTGTCACTCTGTTCCATTACTCTCAGTACATTTTTTGTTTCCATACTCCGGTCACTCGTATCACACTGTACTCCTTGTCACACTGTACTCACCTGTACCTCTTGTCACATCGTCTCCCTGTACCTCCCTGTTCACACCTCCCTTGGTCACTCGTACCCTTCCTCCCCTGGACCTACTTCTTCGCTGTGTACACCTACGAGTGACTTCATATTTCCCATCCCTGTGTCTTAACTACTAACCACCAGAGTCCAGGCCTCCAGGACCCTATCGTACCTGCTCTTAAAACTGTGCATATCTTTATTCTCGTTCGTTTCAGTCATTCGCTACCCTGACTCTTCAAAAGAAGACTTGACTCCTTTTAGTCCTCTTGAGTATTTTGTATGTTGTGATCCTGTTTCCTCAGATCCTCTTTCTCTCCTCTAGGGTTGTCAGTCTCTGGGTCTCGTCTCGTTGTTACAGGATCCATGTTGGTGCCACTTACTGCAACATGGACATAACAGAAACACTATGTTGGTGCCATATACTGCAACATGGCCCTAACAAAGACACTATGTTGGTGCCACATACTGGAACATGGCCCTAACAAAGACACTATGATGGTGACACATACTGAAACATGGCCCTAACAAAGACACTATGATGGTGCCACATACTGAAACATGGCCCTAACAAAGACACTATGATGGTGCCACATACTGAAACATGGCCCTAACAAAGACACTATGATGGTGCCACATACTGAAACATGGCCCTAACAAAGACATTAATGGTGCCACATACTGAAACATGGCCCTAACAAAGACACTATGATGGTGCCACATACTGAAACATGGCCCTAACAAAGACACTATGATGGTGTCACATACTAAAACATGGCCCTAACAAAGACACTATGATGGTGCCACATACTGAAACATGGCCCTAACAAAGACACTATGATGGTGCCACATACTGAAACATGGCCCTAACAAAGAATTTCATGTTGGCATTCCTAGGTCTTTAAGTTATCTCATTTTTATATGGCCAGGAGCTGTGAATCGACCCCTGCAACCACAAATAGGTAAGTATACACACATACACACACACACGAGACGGGACACAACGAGCATAAGATGTACTTTTGCAACTGCAAAGAGAGAGAGAGAGAGAGAGAGAGAGAGAGAGAGAGAGAGAGAGAGAGAGAGAGAGAGAGAGAGAGAGAGAGACACAAGAGAGACAAAGTACCGCATTGAGAGAGCTTGGATCAATGGCTAGCCACTGTACTTGGCTACTACTACTACTACTCCTGGTAAAGCTATGGAGCCAGGCACCCAGTCTGCCATCCAGCCAGTCAAGTCAGCTAGTCAGTTTAAAAAGTCAGTCATCCAGCCAGTCAAGTCAGCTAGTCAGTTTAAAAAGTCAGTCATCCAGCCAGTCAAGTCAGCTATTCAGTTATCCAGTCAGCCAATCAGTCATCTAATCAATCAGCCAGTCAGTCTTCTAGTCAGCCAATCAGCCAGTCAGTCTTCTAGTCAGCCAATCAGCCAGTCAGTCTTCTAGTCAGCCAATCAGCCAGTCAGTCTTCTAGTCAGCCAGTCAGTCTTCTAGTCAGCCAATCAACCAGTGGAAATAATTCACTCTGTCTGACTTTTTTGGGTTATCCCAGGTTGTCTACACATATGCTGCTATGTATGATAATTCTATGTAACTCTATTTGTGTATACCTGAATAAACTTACTTACTTACTCATCTAGTCAGTCAACAAATCAGCCAATCAACCAATTAGCCAATCAGCAAATCAGTCAGTCATCCAGTCAGCTGTCATCCGGTCAACCAGTCAAACCACAATCCCACATAATACTATCAATTTAAATTTGTATTGCAAAAAATCTTTGAAAATTGTCAGAAAATAGTGAAGAGAACCTGCAGGGGTCAGGTAATTATCAGTAATTGCTGGTAATTAAATAGCAGAGTGACCTGTAAGGTGGTAATTAACCTGGGTTAGCCAGGGTAGGTGAGAGGACCCATTGCCAGGGTTAATTGTTATGGGTAGTTAATTAAACACTTCCCCATTATTGGGAAATAATGTAAATAAATGAATTATTATAGATTTAGGTATCATATTCTATTATTATTATTATTATTATTAATTATTATTATATTATTATTATTATTATTATTATTATTATTATTATTATTATTATTATTAATTATTATTAATTATTATTATTATTATTATTATTATTATTATTATTATTATTATTATTATTATTATTAATTATTATTATTATTATTATTATTATTATTATTATTATTATTATTATTATTATTATTAATTATTATTATTATTATTATTGCCTGGAGGGAGAGCTTATCATTATTATTCATGGAAATGGGCCAAACTCAAAGTGGTGGTGCAGTGCCTGGGTAACGGATGAAAAAAGGTTTGAGCTGGGAAAGAGAAAAGTAGCTTCACTTTCTTAGATCAAGAACCTCACACCAGCATCAAGGCACCAGCTTAAAATGGTTAGTCACTGATGTTGAGGTTGATTATATATATATACAGTGGACCCCCGGTTAATGGTATTTTTTCATTCCAGAAGTATGTTCAGGTGCCAGTACTGACTGAATTTGTTCCCATAAGGAATATTGTGAAGTACATTAGTCCATTTCAGACCCCCAAACATACACGTACAAACGCAATTACATAAATACACTTACATAATTGGTCGCATTGGGAGGTGATCGTTAAGCGGGGGTCCAATGTATACAGACAAACACACATGCATATATACATACACATACACAAATGTGTGTGTGTGTGTGTGTACTGGTAATACATTGAAAGAATTTGGATACATTAGTAAATAACTTTTATGATTCCTTGCACACACTTTAATGGACACTCTACTATATGTTTATTATACAGTGGACCCCCGCATAACGATTACCTCCGAATGTGACCAATTATGCAAGTGTATTTATGTAAGTGCGTTTGTACGTGTATGTTTGGGGGTCTGAAATGGACTAATCTACTTCACAATATTTCTTATGGGAACAAATTCGGTCAGTACTGGCACCTGAACATACTTCTGGAGTGAAAAAATATCGTTAACCGGGGGTCCACTGTATTTACTTTCAGATTATTTGTAAGTTCCATGCACTCTGGAGGACTGACTTTTTTATTTCACTTGTGCAGATGAGATATGGCGGACTGACCTGGACTTCCTAGTGCCACACAATGACCGACTAATGGTCCTCAGCGTCAACTCAACTACCGTCAACCCCGAGCTGCCTTCCTCATCCACCCATAACCCTGCAGTCCTCCCTCCAACCCTTATTCCAGAGACCACCACCACCATCAACAACCTGGCGTACAATTTTCCACGTCGATCGAGACGAGGTGCACCAAGCAAGATGGGCGACACTTCCCACAACTTCCCTAACCAACATGGCCGTGAGACCACCTCTACCACTCAAGTCCAGGTGCAAGAGTCGCTGTACAAGACCAGGAAAGACACCAGCTATCCTCAAGAGAGAAAACAAACATTGAATATGGAGGATCCCCTCGAGGGAAAGATATCGTATGCCAGATTACCTGAGGATGGCAAGTGGAGCCCCTTATCCCCTGAGTTACTCAACTACACTGTTGCTCTTCTGGTCTTTGCTATCAGGTAATTTATATAAATTTTTTTTCTTAACCATTAAGAAATTTCAAATTTTCTCCTAAAATTAAGATATTTTGATTAAAAAAACAATTTTAAAGTTTATAAATATAAACAAATAATAATTACTACCATAATAGACTTCATTTATGCCTCAGTTTGCCCAAAATGCTCTGCATAACCATGGATTTCCTCCATGCACAACCAAATATTAACCATCTCTGTACAAACATTGCTTCATGTGGAAATAAATCTTTGACTCTGAGATCTTATTTTTAACTTTCATTGAGCATCTCACTCAAGAAGATGCTCCGATGATCCAAGGATCATCGAAGCATTCTCATGGATCATTCATGATTGCCTCACATTTCCAAGGTACTGTTTGACCCTTGCAGTTTAGTGCTTTACTGTGGATAATAAAAAAAATGTATACTGGATCAGTTCACTGGTGTTATTAAAAGTGAAGTAGTGTTGGAACAAGTTAAAAAAATGAGTTACAGTGACACATTAGCACATATTTGGACATAATTATTTAGAAGATGTTTTGGTCCCAGGACTCTGATCACTTCTGCCTCTATGTGATTGAGGCCTCAGGACTGAAACGTTTTCTCGTAAATGTATCTCGGTGTTTGTGTACACTAAAAATAAAAAGTCAGAGTACAGTCGCTGGAACAATTCACCAAACACCCGCACTAAGCACAAGAACCTGGACCATTGCCAAGTTGCGACTCTGACTTGACAATAATATTTTTTCAAGGACCCCAATAGAAATAAGTCACTTTGCCTGACTTTTTTGGGTTATCCTGGGCAATCTAAACATATGTTGCTATGTATGATAATTTATGTAACTGTATTTATGTGTACCTGCACCTGAATAAGCTTACTTATCATTCAATGTTTGTACAGAGATGGGTGACATTTAGGTGTGCATGCAGAAAATCCAATGGGCCATGATAGACCAAATTATCATGAGGCTTCTCTCCTAAGCATGAGTTTATGGGGAAAAATTGACTAACTTGCCTTTTTCAACTGCATTTCAGTATCAACTACCAAAGTTTAAACCAATTTGCAAAGCTAATTAGCCCTCACTTGTAGACCACTGAGCTGCTATCACGACTCACGAAATTGTAATAACAGGATCGCAAACAAACCACAAAATAGGTGCAATTTGAACCCATGGATGAATCTTGTTAGAGCCACCTGGTCCAGTGGTTAACACACTGGCCTGAATTTTTAGGACTCACTTGCCATGGCTGTATAGCCCTTGTGGTTTAGCGCTTCTTTTTGATTATAATAATAATGACCACTTGCCATGGATTCAAACCCCACCTGTTCTGTGGCTTGTTCAATCATTTGTCCCGTGGTTTGTTTTGTGGTTTCTTGGACTAAGCTGGTGTCTCACTGAGGTCTGGGGTTGCAGGTACCCATCTGTGTTCTGGCACACCAACAAGACATTTGGTCTGCTCTTCTCCCTGCAACTGATAGTGAATGGTATCCACACCATCCTCATCATCACTGCCTTCACCATACTCTACAAGGTTAGTAGAATCTGTAAACAACTGCAAATGAATTTTTTCTGCAACGTACTAAATGAGTACAATAGTAATAACTTTATTTTTACAAGTATGTACATGTACAAGGTATACAGACCATAGCTGACATCAGTGACATACTACTATATAGAAAGCCCCTTCTTATGCAGAGCATTTCAGGCAAATTTTGTCCCAGGATGTGACCCACACCAGTCTACTAACACCTAGGTAACAGTGGCAAATCATAACGCCAATAATACCTATACTGTCGTACCGCACCAAACTTCAAATTTTAATAATTTTTCGTCTCATTTCAACAAAAAAATGAAAAATTTGCTTATAAATACTACATTGAAAACAACATACAACAGATTTTCCTGTAATATATTTATTTTTTTTATTTTATTATCACTGGCCGATTCCCACCAAGGCAGGGTGGCCCGAAAAAGAAAAAACTTTCACCATCATTCACTCCATCACTGTCTTGCCAGAAGGGTGCTTTACACTACAGTTTTTAAACTGCAACATTAACACCCCTCCTTCAGAGTGCAGGCACTGTACTTCCCATCTCCAGGACTCAAGTCCGGCCTGCCGGTTTCCCTGAACCCCTTCATAAATGTTACTTTGCTCACACTCCAACAGCACGTCAAGTATTAAAAACCATTTGTCTCCATTCACTCCTATCAAACACGCTCACGCATGCCTGCTGGAAGTCCAAGCCCCTCGCACACAAAACCTCCTTTACCCCCTCCCTCCAACCTTTCCTAGGCCGACCCCTACCCCGCCTTTCTTCCACTACAGACTGATACACTCTTGAAGTTATTCTGTTTCGCTCCATTCTCTCCACATGTCCAAACCACCTCAACAACCCTTCCTCAGCCCTCTGGACAACAGTTTTGGTAATCCCGCACCTCCTCCTAACTTCCAAACTACGAATTCTCTGCATTATATTCACACCACACATTGCTCTCAGACATGACATCTCCACTGCCTCCAGCCTTCTCCTCGCTGCAACATTCATCACCCATACTTCACACCCATATAAGAGTGTTGTTAAAAATATACTCTCATACATTCCCCTCTTTGCCTCCACAGACTCCTAAGTGCACCACTCACCCTTTTCCCCTCATCAGTTCTATGATTCACCTCATCTTTCATAGACCCATCCGCTGACACGTCCACTCCCAAATATCTGAATACATTCACCTCCTCCATACTCTCTCCCTCCAATCTGATATCCAATCTATTTGTCAGTTGCAAATTATTTTAGCGTAAGGCTGATGAAGTCATACATCTGGCAGTGAGCATCTGGGGGGACTGCAGCCCTGCAGCTCCTATGGACGAGCTGCACCTGCCAGGTACCCATTTTACTAATGGGTGAACATAGACGACAGGTGTGAGGAAACACACACATTGTTTCCACCCTTTCTGGGAATCAAACCCGTGAACTGCCAAGCACAGAAGTGTTTGGCAGTTCACTATTTTTTCACAGTGGTTGTTTTGCATATTATATATGTACACATTATAATATGGATTACATAATATGTATGGTATATATACCATTACAATGCCTGTGCTTTAAAGGAGGGGTTTGGGATATTGGCTGTTTGGAGTGACATCTAAACTGTCATATCTGGGCACCTGTGCAAAGACAGTGATTATGTGTGAATGATGGTGAAAGTTTATGTCGTTTTTGAGTCACCCTGCCTTGGTGGGAGACAGCCGGCATGTTGAAAAAGAAAAATATACCATTATGGCGAAAGGCACAATTTAAGGACAGTCTTTCATTGTTTGAAGATATATACTTATCCTTGAACACTGTGTTTCTTGCTGACTTGATAGCAGTGCCTTCTCTTTACCCAACTTGTTCTTAAGTCAGTGTTTATTTCAGCTTCACGTGTGTGATAGTTCAAGAGAGCTGCATGGAGGGGAGAACTTTCTTCTCAACCTACCAGCAACTGTTGGATTGCTCGTCATTGCTGTGATGGTGGTCACTGTGTCCTCATCGGCCATTTACTTTTATGGCTACCAGAAGTTCACGGATTTTGTGGTTAAAAGTCGGCAGCGATATCACATAACAGTAAGTATTAACCAATGTGTACATGTGATAGGTGTATGACTAATTTTAGGGGTATTCTATCCTTGCAGCCTAGCAGAAGTTTCCTAATTTAGTGTATGACTAAGTGGGTACAGATTTTGTTTCCTAATACAGTGCATGACTAGGTTGGAACAGATTTTATTTCCTAATACAGTGCATGACTAGGTTGGAACAGATTTTGTTTCCTAATACAGTGCATGACTAGGTTGGAACAGATTTTGTTTCCTAATACAGTGCATGACTAGGTTGGAACAGATTTTATTTCCTAATACAGTGCATGATAGGTTGGAACAGATTTTGGTTTCCTAATACAGTGCATGACTAGGTTGGAACAGATTTATTTCCTAATACAGTGCATGACTAGGTTGGAACAGATTTTATTTCCAATACAGTGCATGACTAGGTTGGAACAGATTTTGTTTCCTAATACAGTGCATGACTAGGTTGGAACAGATTTTATTTCCTAATACAGTGCATGACTAGGTTGGAACAGATTTTATTTCCTAATACAGTGCATGACTAGGTTGGAACAGATTTTATTTCCTAATACAGTGCATGACTAGGTTGGAACGATTTTATTCCTAATACAGTGCATGACTAGGTTGGAACAGTTTTATTTCCTATACAGTGCATGACTAGGTTGGAACAGATTTTGTTTCCTAATACAGTGCATGACTAGGTTGGAACGATTTTGTTTCCTAATACAGTGCATGACTAGGTTGGAACAGATTTATTTCCTAATACAGTGCATGACTAGGTTGGAACAGATTTTTTTCCTAATACAGTGCATGACTAGGTTGGAACAGATTTATTCTAATACAGTGCATGACTAGGTTGGAACAGATTTTATTTCCTAATACAGTGCATGACTAGGTTGGAACAGATTTTATTTCCTAATACAGTGCATGACTAGGTTGGAACAGATTTTGTTTCCTAATACAGTGCATGACTAGGTTGGAACAGATTTTATTTCCTAATATAGTGCATGACTAAGTTGGAACAGATTTTATTTCCTAATACATGTACAGTGCATGACTAGGTTGGAACAGATTTTATTGCCTAATACTGTGCATGACTAGGTTGGAACAGATTTTATTTCCTAATACACTGGCTGCACTGGAAGAAAATCAGAATGCAGATGTAATATACACAGACTTTGCAAAAGCATTTGACAAATGCAATCATTGTGTAATAGCCCATAAAATATGTGCTAAAGGAATAACTAGGAAAGTGGGAAGATAGATCTTCAACTTCCTAACAAATCGAACACAAAGAGTAGTGGTCAACAGAGTTAAATCGGAGGCTGCCATAGTGAAGAGCTCTGTTCCACAAGGCACAGTACTCGCCCCCATCTTACTCCTCATCCTCATATCAGACATAGACAGAGATATACATCACACCACCGTATCATCCTTTGTGGATGATACTAGGATCTGCATGAGGCTGTCATCTGCTGAGGACGCGGTTAACCTCCAAGACGATATAAACAAAGTTTTCCAGTGGGCAACGGTAAACAATATGATGTTCAATGAGGACAAATTCCAACTACTCCGTTATGGAAAACTGGAGGAGATAATAACTAGAACAGAGTATACTACAGACTCTGGCCATACAATAGAGCAGAAAAATAATGTAAGGGACCTGGGAGTAGTAATGTCTGAGGATCTCACTTTCAAGGATCACAACAGTGCCACAATCGCACGTGCAAAGAAAATGATAGGATAGATAATGAGAACGTTCCAAACGAGAGATGCCAAGCCAATGATGATCCTTTTCAAATCACTTGTTCTCTCTAGGCTGGAATACTGCTGTACATTAACATCTCCATTCAAAGCAGGTGAAATCGCAGATCTAGAGTGTACAGAGATCCTTTACTGCACGTATAAGTTCTGTCAAGCACCTTAACTACTGGGAACGCTTGGAAGCACTTGACTTGTACTCGTTGGAACGCAGGAGGGAGAGATATATCATAATCTACACTTGGAAAATCCTGGAAGGAATGGTCCCAAATCTGCACACAGAAATCACTCCCTACAAAAGTAAAAGACTGGGCAGGCGATGCAAAATGCTCCCAATAAAAAGTAGGGGCGCCATTGGTACACTAAGGGAAAACACCATAAGTGTCCTGGGCCCAAGACTGTTCAACAGCCTCCCATCAAGCATTAGGGGAATTGCCAATAAAGCCCTGGCTGCCTTCAAGAGAGAGCTGGACAGATACCTAAAGTCAGTGCTGGATCAGCCGGGCTGTGGCTTGTACGTAGGACTGTGTGCGGCCAGCAGTAACAGCCTAGTTGATCAGGCCCTGATCCATCGGGAGGCCTGGTCATGGACCGGGCCGCGGGGGCATTGATCCCCGGAATAACCTCCAGGTAACCTCCAGGTATGACTAGGTTGGAACAGATTTTATTTCCTAATACAGTGCATGACTAAAATCCTGTGTGTAATTTTTCAGTATGAAAATGAGCCCGGCTCCATACGACCGTATGCCCCTCACTGTGCTGCGCTCATTGTGCTTGTTGCTATGGGAGTCTCACACGGACCACTCCTCTGGGACCTCTCGTTGGTGTACCGGGGTTCTCTAGATGCCATCGTTCTGGCTTCGGTCATTGGCTCTATTGTCCACTTGTTCCTGTGGATTGTTCTCTGGCTGTTGCTAACTGTCAAGGTAAGTGCCAAGGAAGTGTACTGACAAGGTTGGTTTCTTGAGTGTCCATGTGTGTGTGTGTGTTGGATGTACTTAATGGGGGTTGACTTGCTTCTGGACCCAGCATTCTGATCTTCATTTGACTTAGAGTAGTTAATTCTTAGTACAGTAGAGGCCGGCCCCACTGTACAGCGCTTCACTTTATAGCAATTCACTAATTCAGCAGTTTTCAATTATACTTATTCTTCATTTATTCAAACTTCCTACAATAAATATATTCACCACTCACTTTAAGCTGAAGACAAAATATTTTAAGTGTTGTGTGTACTGTATATGCGTTTTTTAGACCTAGCTTAATTGCTCATTTAATGTGTACTCACCTAATTGTAATCACCTAATTGTAGTTGGAGGGGTCGAGACTCAGCTCCTGGCCCCGCCTCTTCACTGAACACTACTAGGTCCTCTCTCTCCCTGCTCCATGAACTTTATCATAAATCATCTTAAAGCTATGTATGGTTCCTGCCTCCACTACATCGCTCGCCAGACCGTTCCACTTCCTGACCACTCTATGACTGAAGAAGTGCTTCCTAACATCCCTGTGGCTCATTTGAGTCTTCAACTTCCAAGAGTGACCTCTTGTTTCTGTGTCCCCTCTCTGGAACATCTTGTCTCTGTCCACCTTGTCTATTCCATGCAGTATTTTGTATGTCGTTATCATGTCTCCCCTATCCCTCTTGTCCTCCAGTGTCGTCAGGCCGATTTCCCTCAACCTTTCTTCATCGGACATTCCCCTTAGCTCTGGAACTAATATTGTCGCAAACCTTTGCACTTTCTTTAATTTCTTAACATGTTTGACCCGGTGTGGGTTCCAAACTGGTGCTGCATACTCCAGTATGGGCCTGACATACACGGTGTACAGTGTCTTGAAAGATTCCTTACCTAGGTATCGGAATGCTAATCTCAGGTTTGCCAGGGGCCAATATGCTGCAGCAGTTATCTGGTTGATAACTGCTGGAGACGTGTTTGGTGTTATACTCACGCCAAGATCTTTCTCCCTGAGCGAGGTTTGCAGCTGTTGGCTGCCTAGCCTATACTCTGTCTGCTGTCTTCTTTGCCCTTCTCCATCTTCATGACTTTGCATTTGGCAGGGTTGAACTCGAGAAGCCAGTTGCTGGCTTCTCGAGTTCAACCCTGCCAAATGCAAAGTCGTGAAGATCAGAGAAGGGCAAAGAAGACCACAGACAGAGTATAGGCTAGGCGGCCAATGACTGCAAACCTCGCTCAAGGAGAAAGATAGTATGTATGATAGTGTTAACGTGTTACCAGGCTTCTATTGCATTTGAAAGTTAAAAAAGGCTAAGTATTTTACTTTACAGCAGTAGCCTGGAATCTAGCCTGCTGTATAAGCAGGACTCTCCTGTACTACCTTGCAGTATATGCTGATTCATTTAGATGAATACTGGATATATTAAGACAGATAACAGCAACAATTATTTTAGTGTATGCAGTGTATAGATACTGTATTTTCTTAGTAATATTTAAAAAACTAAAAATATAATGTGGTATTCCAACAGTCATCTTGGACGTTCAAGTTACGTGTGACGGTAGCCCGAGCGTGTGTGTCATCTGCTCGTTCAATCAAGTTAGTGAACGATGTGGAGCTGTCATGTGGAGACGCACAGAGGCAGGCCCTCACCCCTCTGCTCGTGGTGGGGTCGGGGAAGGCATACGCCATCAATGATTCTGTACCAAAGAAGACCATCATGAGTGTTGTGCAGAAGGTAAGATTATTTTGATTGGATGAATTTTAATTTTCCAAATACATCACTATATTTCTAGTCATTTTCTTAATTTTGTTCCATCATTGGGGAGGTGTATTGCACATTGGAAGATTGCATGATTGCTTTCTGTATTTTTTAAGTTTAGCTCTGGTTTCTTGAAATTTTTGTTATAATATTTTATATGGTAATATGAGATATCATCCACATCTGTCAGTATGCCTTGAATCAGTAAAGAAAAACTTCAGAAACAACCAGGACTTCTCCATAAGTTTTGTATTGGAGGGGCTTAGGGCTCACAATCTGGTCAGAAGAGGGGGGCTAGGGGACTTGAAACATTATTATTATTATTACTATTTTTATTTGGGGCTGATGGGCTTTTGGGAGGCCACAGTTCCCTAGCTCCCACTTGGCACTGCTCCTGGGAGAAAGATAATTGGCACTGCTCCTGGGAGAAAGATAATTGGCACTGCTCCTGGGAGAAAGATACCTGCCACAGACCAAACCTCTGTTAATAATTATGTTTTGCTCTGGGTAGATTATCAGTTATGCAAGACCAAAGTCTCCGGCTAATAAATATGTTTGCACGGGTCTTTACTGTAAATACTCATCTGTCTACCATGCTAGACTTAAAAGGAAACTTTATCCACCAAAGCTTTATGAATTACCATAGTAACCTGCTGCGAGGCAAGGACAAAGTGATCACTGTTTGATGCCCAAGAGCGTGCGAGGCGAGGAGGAGAAAACAAGACCAGTGTCCCCCAGGCAGGCTAAGGTCACATTTGATGAGGGTGGCATCTTGACTTCCCCCAGGTACATATTATAATTTTGACATTTGTCTAGTGTATTTTGTAATTTACGTATTTGTTACTATTTACAGACATAAATATTTTTCAATTATAAAGTAATACAGTATTTAAATTTACATGTCTTGTGATGATTTCTGAATTACAATATCCCTCACAGAAAAGGAAAGATAACAAAGCCCACAAAAGTTGAAGAATCGACTTATCGACGAGTGACGACTCTCTCCGACTCTGAAGACGAAGCCGGTGATTATGCTCTCCTGACAGAACCAACAGAGGATGATCGCCAGCAACAAGAAGAGAATCCACGATATGTTGACAGGCAACAGGTACAAATTATTCATGTGGTTTGAGTCTGTGTGTTTCTGCACGTTATAAGATAAATTCTGTTACTTATATTATAGCTAAAAATTAAATGTATCAGGAGAAAGCTTCAAACTGCTGAAATATCGAAATATGCAATAATAAAGTTTTCTCTTGTTCAAAGTTTGAGGTGTCTTGATCTTGGTCCATGAAATTCATGTTTAATCTAGTAAATCTTTTTTCTGTAGGATTAGGATAGGTTGTATAAGTGTAAACCCCAGTTGCCACATACAGCCTCTCCTCACGTAATGACAGAGATCCATTCCTAAGACCACGTCGGTAAACGAATTCATTACTAAGTGAGGAGCGTACAATAATGGTAGTGGGTTTGTGCCATCCATTTTTTATATTGTTTTAATGTCACCTTTGTGCCATTTATAACATTTCTAATATATTTTTAAATGTTTATACAGTAGTGTACTTGTATTCTAATAAAAAGAATACAGGAAATGAGTTCTGATATATATTATTTAGGTATGCATACTGGTCAGAGAGCCTGTTGTAAGTCCAAGTTGTCAGTAAACGAGTACATCGCTAAGTGAGGAGAGGCTGTATTTTGTACTGTAAGTTCCAAGGGGAGGATGGCTCTAATTCCTTGGATTAAAAGGTGTAACTAGTATCAAGGTACTAACTACCCTTGAAACCTCACATCTTTTTCAAATGGTACTCGTTTTTTACCCCATTCTCGGTTCCTATTCCAACAACTGGTCATCTCCCACCTAGGAAGGGTGACTCAAATAAAAGAGGAAATGTATTCACCAACACTCATTCAGTCACTGTCTTGCCAAAAGCATGCTGACATCACAGGTCAGATGGCTCTCCAAACTGTAACATCCCCACCCCTCCTTCAGAGGGCAGGCACTGTATTTCCTACCTCCAAGATTCAAGTCCAGCTAAATGCTCTTCCTACCTCCAGGACTCGAAGTCAGCTAACTGCTCTTCCCACCTCCAGGATTCAAAGCCATCTAACTTCTTTTCCCTAAATCCCTAATAAATATTACCCTGTTCACACTATATATCTATAGTTCAAATAACACTTTAATAATGAATTTATTATCTTTATTCTTTTCTAGATTCTTGCGTACCACCGAGCCATGGAGGAGCGACGGTGTGGTGCGCCAGGCACTGGCAGTACTGTACCTGACTACGAGGATGCTGAACATCTCCACATGCGTAGTCCCCAACCCTCACATCATCTAGAGTCCCAGGTAAACTGTCATATACTACTTCATCATATCACCAGTCATTACCTGTGTTGATTCTTTTGTTTTTCCGCAGTGCTATAAAACTTTCCTGCGCAGAACAGAAAGGCACAATACCGTGACTGGAACAATACACAAATAAAATAAAATGAAATACTGTGATACTGTGGCTAGTTATTGGTCCACACCACGGAACGGGTAAGGTTTGAACCCACGGCGAGTGAGTCATAAAACTCTAGGTCAGTGCATAAGTTTTACGACGCACTTGCTGTGAGTTCAAAACCTGCCCATTTCGGGTGTTTTCTTTATAATCATGTTATTACGATTTCATGAGTCTTAATCATCCAAGTCAGACCAAAACATTGTCATGAGTTTCTTTCTCTTACGTGCGGGTTATTCGTGTATTGGAGACTTTCCTTCATTGGTTAGCAAGTTTTACTACCCAGATACTTATTGAATGCACATAAATACCTGTATTTTTTATAAATATATACAATATATAAATTTTAGGCAACAGCCAGTACTGTAATTATTGCAGCAATTTTCACTGGTTACAATATAATTTTTCATTTCTAAAACACAACTGGTAAATTTTTGAAGCACAGTAGCAGACAGCCTTTTTACAATGCAGCCTTAGAAATTAATGACCACAAATTTTCATGGCACTGTTACTGTCTGTACCCTCTCATTTATTTAACTTTTTTCTTTTTCACGTAGGGCCAATGACGCCACGCAGCACCCGCAGCAATGATTCTGGCGTGGCTCACGAAGACCGTTCCCAACGCAGTGACTCGGTGTCGACCTCATCTTCCAACACTCCACCTGAGAACTCTGAAGAGTCTGGAGTGCATTCTGGAGCAACGGACATTATGAGGAACAGGTGAACTAACTGGAAACCAAATCTGTCATAACACTTTCACAGTGTTCCTAAGTAATGAATAGTTTGTTAACAAGTTAATGTTTTAGAGACTTAAGGTGCACATCAGACCAGTATATCAGGGTAATTACAAAGCAGTGTGTGTTAAATTAACATTTTTTAACTCATCAGCCATCTCCCACTGAGAAAAATGACCTGAAAAAGAATAAAAAAAAAGTCTTTCTTTTTATATTTAGTAATTTATATAGGAGAAGGGGTTACTAGCCCCGTGCTCCTGGAATTGTTGTCACCTCTTATGACATGCCTGGCTTATGGAGGAAGGATTCTTTTCCACTTCCCCATGCTATGATAATTTATTGACAAAAGCTGCATTTAGAAGGCTGTGAGGTATGCAGAACCGCAGTAAACAGTAGTTGTTTCAAAGCCCATGTTAAGTACAGCGATCTAGGCAAGGACAAACGTATAATTTGCCTTTCTAGACAGCTTGTATCACATGATATGCTTATTTCAGTAAAGACAAAGACGTGTGTCACAGAACTAGCTCTATAGTTAAACTGAATGAGCTCTAAGCTCCTTCAGTTTATCTTTTGGTTGCCCTTATCCTGATGTCAGGAAAACAAAATAACATATATAGATCCTGTAATCCTCACAAGTAACTGAAATGAATAAATAATCTGAATTAACTGTTGTATTCTGCTATATGATGCATTTTTTTATATTTATTTTGCAGGTCCAATAGTGTGGATGACCTGACCCAGCTGCCTCCTGATCCTAATCAAGTGATAGTTTCAGCAAAGGCCATGTCTATGCCTCGTCCATCAATGGGCTCCTCTCCTGGCATCTACGGATACACTTGTGTTGGAGGAAATGCTTCTGCTGGAACAGTCTCACCTGTGCCAGCGGCTGTCTTGTACCCAGCTTCGGAATCAACTGTTGTTATTCGAAGGCAGCGAAACCTCACACAAGAAATCAAACCACCAGTTGATCCAATTTATGGCACGAGGCCTTTGACCTCTTTCACTGATCAGCAGCAAGACACTAAGAAGAAGACTCTAAATGAAGATTTAATGGCCATTGCACAGAACAGCTTCAACAGTAACCAATCAACAAACTCAAGTGGGTACCACAGCAGCAGTGCTAATGGCAGCAGTGGCAGTAATAGCTCTAGTAACTCGCCTGTTCCCCAACACCCAGGGTCCTCCAGCTCTCCTGGACAACCTATCTATGGCCATAAGACGCCTAGTGGTGTACAGAATATCTATGGACACATGAATCGTTCAAATCCAAGAGTTAATTCACACGGTGCACAGAGTATGTATGGTCGCACAGTGACTGGATCGAGTGGATCTCTCAAACTACCTCAGGCTCCACAGATACCCCTACCCCCAATCCCTCAAGGTGCTGTGCCCTCAAGCGCAACTCATCAGAGTTCGCTGCAAGACATATATGGCCGTACGACCGGTCAAAAGATTTATGGGCACCTAGGGGATGCTAGTAGTATTTATGGCACCGGGTCATCCAGACATCCAGTGAGTCGCTCAGTTAGTCTAAGATCATCTGGAGCAGTACCAAAGTACACAACCGGAGGTTTCTCACACTTGTCACGAGAGTCCAGTTATAATACTAACGTGTGAATTCAAGTAGAAATGCATTTTTTTGGAGTAAAGTTGCTATTTGACTGAGTTCACTAACTCTCAAAGCAGAGATAAGTCTTTAAGCAGACATTTTGGTCTTATCAAATTAAGACCTACTACTTCCTGATGATCCAATAAGAACAAAAACATTGTTTTGTAGATTTACACCAATATGTGGATCAGTTGTGAACTGTTCCAGCCATGGTATTGTAGCTTGTTCCAGCCATGGTATTGTAACTTGTTCCAGCCATGGTATTGTAACTTGTTCCAGCCATGGTATTGTAACTTGTTCCAGCCATGGTATTGTAACTTGTTCCAGCCATGGTATTGTAACTTGTTCCAGCCATGGTATTGTACTTGTTCCAGCCATGGTATTGTAACTTGTTCCAGCCATGGTATTGTAACTTGTTCCAGCCATGGTATTGTAACTTGTTCCAGCCATGATATTGTAGCTTGTTCCAGCCATGATATTGTAACTTGTTCCAGCCATGGTATTGTAACTCACATTGTTATTTACCTGAGTCTTGCCAGTGTTGTAAAAGACTAGGGAACAAAAGCTGTACAGTGTATACTACAATGTCAACATGGACTCCACAATTAAATCTCACAGAGGTTTCACTGCATGTATTTGAGCTCTTTTTTTTTTATTACTCTTCGTATGTGCTGGAGAAAATACAGAAATATTTTACCGTCCATTCCTGGTGACTGTAATTGTAGGGGCGAAGGATCAGTCGAGCTGATTTGATCAGTCCCTTTCTCGTATCCTATGAGGAATATGCTATTTCCATATTGTAAGACACAAAATTTATCATTAATTAGGTACATACATATCATGATGGCATGTATGCAAAAGAGTCATTTTGTCATATATTTTGTTATTAGTAAATTTGTGTCTTATGGGATGAGACAAGCTGTAGAATAAGGAATGTGTTAGGGAAACACAAAGCGTTATGTCTCAGTGCAATTATGAGGGTTCTCTCTGATCAATATTTTAGTCTTTGCACTCAAAATTGTTATAATAATTGTGTATTGAAGAATGAGACACTTGGGAATCTTTATTGAGGGAATTTATTACCAGCCAGTGGCTGCTTCAGACCAATACAGAGAAGAAGATTCTTCTCTGTATTGGTTTGACAAACTTACTCACTAGTGAAGGTTTCCTCATTAAAAATTCCCTAATATTGCACAAGTGTCTCATTATTCAACTTTTGAGTTTTCTAAACCATTTACATCACACATAATTGTAATTTATTGTTCCGAGTTGTAAATACTTTAATATACACATTCATTTATGGTATTCATCATGACTTAAAGAAGAATCTCCATTTTTGTCTGTGTAAAATGTTACTTCACACATTGTTTTGACTCTAAAATTCCCCATGTAATTTTTTTATTTATGAGCAAATCACAGTGAGCTCTCCATATAGTTCACTATATTTTATTTCACTATGTTTTATAGACATTTACGTAATACATGGAGTATACCTGGAGAGGGTTTTGGGGGTCAACGCCTCCATGGCCCGGTCTGAGACCAGGCCTCATGGTGGATCAGGGCCTGATCAACCAGGCTGTTACTGTTGGCTGCACGCAACCCAACATACAAACCACAGGTGGCTGGTCAGGTACTGACTTTAGGTGCCTGTCTAGCGCCTTCTTGAAGACAGCCGGGCATTGGCAGCTGACGCTGTTCACACAAGAACTTCTGTAGTGTACTTACGGTTCAAATTGTTAAATGCATAACGTAAATCTGATCTAGAAATACTCAGATCACATGACATCTTACAAGTCTTATCAGTATTAGATGTAAACAATGTCAGTCGCTTGTGAGTTACTGCATTAGTGATGGAACTTGTTCCCTGCATTAGCACAAACTTGGAATTAATCTGACACCTTTTTTTTTTTTTTATCCGAAGATGTTTGTAGTGAGCGTGTGCAGATGTGGAAGACTTTGTGAAATATGATACTGAATTCTGTTACTTGAAGATGTTGATATAAGTCTTACTTCACACATTATCATTATAAATCAACATTGTCATTATTATCATCAGTATTATCACTAATCATCATCAACAGTTGATCATCATTATTAATGATCATCATTATCATCAGCTATCATCTAGTATCTGTTGTCTAAGTTAGTGTGGTGTAGAGGTACCCACCAGAAGACATTAAAAAAACACACAAATCTGGTAATTTGGTACCACCTTCCACTCCAAGGTATCTATTGGGCTCTTAGTACTACTGCAGCAGTAATTTTTATAATTTTTTTGGGACTAAATATGAATAACCCCTGCTTAAGGGGGATCACATTCGCAGGTGTCAGTATTAACGTCTACGCTATTTCATTTTGATTTGTAAGCTTTTTGGTTAACCAAAGAATGAAGTATGTGTACATCTGCCATAGGTTTGTGTTAGTCTGGTGTATATAAATGAGTTTGTACATATTATGTAGCATTTTATCATCATGTATTGATTCTAGTTATTGACACGTATCCACTGTATTGTGGACTGTGTACAAGATGTACAGTATGTTTGACACATTGGTATGGTACTGTATTTCCACTAAGACTTAATAATTGTGGATAACTGAAGTGTAATGAACACTTGTTAATCTGGAGTAATAACCCACATGGAGATGGAAACATGAGAGATTAGTTGATCCGTATATGGACCCCCGGTTAACGATATTTTTTCATTCCAGAAGTATGTTCAGGTGCCAGTACTGACTGAATTTGTTCCCATAAGGAATATTGTGAAGTAGATTAGTCCATTTCAGACCCCCAAACATACACGTACAAACGCACTTACATAAATACACTTACATAATTGGTCGCATTGGGAGGTGATCGTTAAGCGGGGGTCCACTGTATTTCGATCCCAGAAGGGAATTGAAATATACAGCTGATGAGGATCCAAGAAACGAATAAAAAATATACAGATCAGTGAATCTTCCGAGTTTCTATCTCTTTGTGGGTTATTTCAGGATTAATAATTTTTTAACACATTTTTAAAACATGAAGTTCTGAAAGTTTCTTTGAGTATAAATATTCAAAGATTAAATGAAGAACAAAAACACTTAGTAAAGTATTATGGTAAGATAAAAAAATAAATAACTTTTAGTTTAATTATGGAAATGTTTAGAAAAGACGGTTGCTATTTTCCAAGGTGTTGTATGTGCCAAATATTATGATTGTAGTTGCATTTAATCCTGTGTAAAAACCAAAGGAATAATGGTAATGGTGTATATAAAGCATAAATTAGAGCTCAGTACAGGAGGGCCCCTGCATACGGCACCTATTTTCTGTGTTCCATGTTTTTGGTGGCATTCAGTGGAGTCGCTATTCATTATGTTTGGTGCTTTTACCGCTGCTCTTCCGTTATTACCTGGAGAGAGTTCCGGGGGTCAACGCCCCTGCGGCCCGGTCTGTGACCAGGCCTCCTGGTCGCTATTTTCCCACAACAGTTGTGTAAGGGAAGGACGACCAGCACCATATTTAGAACTGTATGAGCAGGGCCCTCCTGTATACACTCAAATACTCTGATTCAGGCAATAATTGTGGTTATTGTGGACTAATGTGTGTATGTGTGTGTGTTGGGTACCTCACAATTTGCTCTGGGTATCACTAAAATAAGTGCCCCTAGGTTTTCACTGGTAACAAGAAGTATTAGCAGTGTCTGGTAGACTCATCTACCACTGAAGAAGTTAGGATTTACATAGTTCACTATTTAACAGTGCACAAATAATATGATATTCAGTATGTATGTGTGTAGTTTTCTATTTGGCTAGTTGTTATTACCTACCAAACTTGAATTTGTCTGTGTTGAGCTTGGCTTTGTCTTCTAATTTTCAACTAACCGACACGTAATAATGTTGTCATCTCTACTTTTAAACCCTTGCGTGGATTCTGTTTGTACTGTGTAAGTGTTCATACTTTTATACCACTTCCCTCTTTTCTTGAGAAAGTGTTTTCGCATATTCCTGTGGCTCGTTTGAGTGTGTAGTTACTATCCATGTTCTCTTGTTCTAGTTCTCTGATAAAATGTCTGCCTCTGTCTATCCTGTCTGTATCTGAGAATATTTTGTATATTGTGATCATATCCCCTCTCATTTTTTTAGTCATCCAGAGGTAGGAGGCTTAACTTTTTTCATAACTAATTCCTCTGGCACTAGCCTGGATATGTATCTTTAGACCTTCTCATTTGTCCTTGTATCTGACTAGGTGAGTCTCACTGGTTAACATACTCAAAAAAGGATCTCATGTCTTGAGTGTGTCTTTACAAAGGTTTCTGAATACCCTTCTTATATTCCTGAGCTTAGCATGCATTACTGATATTGCTGTCTTTGTGTTCCTTGACTGTTTACATGAGATTTTTATCATCCAGTTGGTACACTATCTCTTGTCTTTATTCTCCTTCCAATCTTGTTACTGTGGTTTTTGCACCCTTCTACCATCCTCGTCTATTTGTATTCTCATTATTTTGGCATCATTTGCTAACAAGGATGTTTAGAAGTTTATTCCTTTTGGTAAGCCCTTTGTATACATTAAAAAGAATAGTATGAGTCCCAGTACTGATCTTTGGGATGCTCTACTGGTTACACTCCCACCTTATACTTCATCTTTCACTGTAATCTTTTGTTTTCTGTTATTCAAATACTGTTTACACTAATCCATCCTATTACCTTATTTCTCATTACCCATTGTATATCATTTTTCTTGTTCCCTCCATTGCTTGAGATGATATAACTACCCAGAGTTCTTCTGCTTCTATCCTATTCTCTAGTGTTGGGATTCCTCTGTGCTTCTTTTTTTATGCTCATTGCTGAGGTTTGCCTCTACAATATTGTATAAGGTCTGTGTATTCACTACATTGTTTGTGAGGGTCGAGTCTTGGCTCCTCGCCCTGCCACCTAACAGTTGCCCAGTACTAATGATTCATGGCCTCTTAGTTCCTCAATCAAACCTGCTCGTCAAACTGTGTATGGAATTTACCACCACCATAACTTCCTCATCAAGCTTGTTCCTCTTACCATGCTAAGACTGGAGAAGTATTTCCTAATGTCCCAGTGCCTCAGCTGTGTTTTTGGTTTCCATCTATAACCCTTTCAGCCCTGTACTATACCTAACATTTTAAGCAGTTTTTTTTTCTATGTCCACCCTGCAAAATTCTGTTGAATATCTTGTAAATTGTAACCAAGTCAACCCTGGTTCTAAGGCTCAGTTCCTTTATTCTTTCCTCACAATTATATCCCTCAGCTCTAAAACTGGTCTTCCTGCAAAATTTATGGACTTTTTCAGGTTTCTGAACCTGCTTCACCAATTGTGGATGCCATGATGGCACTGCATACTCTATCATAGGTCTGACATATTTTAGGCTTTTGTTAACCTCTGAAAGAAGGAGAGAGAGAGAGAGAGAGAGAGTGAATGCATATGTGAAAGATTACCTCTATATTTGGAGGAGTTGAGTGCCATGTTCATGGTGTTCCTTTCTTTAGTATTTAGTTTGTTGCCTAATTTTTTTAAAAGTTTCTATCAGGCTACCACTATTTGTCAACTATTGCCTAGTGTCATATCAGCACAAGTGTGTGTGACGACTTGTGTTCATAAGTGTGTGTGTGTGTGTGTGTGTGTGTGTGTGTGTGTGTGTGTGTGTGTGTGTGTGTGTGTGTGTGTGTGTGTGTGTGTGTGTGTGTGTGTATGTGTGTGTGCATGTGCATGTGTGTGTGTGCACTTATGGTGTTCACAAGTGAGTATGAGTGTGCATGTGTTTATGGTATATAGTATAAGTACACCTGCAGGATATAAATGCATACATGTGTAAATATTAACTGAATCATGATATACAGATTTTTAAACCCATATAAACAGTTGCCACAGTTAACAAACATGCACATTTACACTGTCCTGGATTAATACTCTCTACTGAGGTATTGTCTTATTGGTCAGGAGCTATGATCTGCTCCTACACGTTGTGTGGTATTACCCTCAGTTGTTGAAGATGACAAGCACACTGAATCATTGTGGAATGAGAATATTGTATTCATGAGGAAGAGCCATGCTCATACAGGACATACTAGCCTCCCTTGAAGAGAAGGAATAAGAGTAAAACTTCCATGTTTGCTAATCTTACGTACAAAAATCTGCCTCTCCACTTTGGTATCCTCCGTAACAAACAGTACAATGCTGTAATTAAGCCAATATCGTTTCCTCGAGATTATTATTATATTCACGAGAGAGCGTTGAACCCATATAGGTCGGACAGCACCCTGCTTGAGAGCAAAAAATTTGTGTTGTAGATATTGGTGATCTGAATGTGCTTCAGTGGTGAATCACATGGCTTATTAAATTACTGAAGTTTCTAACATATGACCTCTAAGGACCAATTTCTTAATACTTATCAGTTGCTTAGATATCCCATCTAGTCTGTCAGTCACTACAAAGCTGTATTTTGACCACTGGCGGTTATGCAGTCCCCCAAAGATTTAAAATGGTAAATTGCCTAGTATTATATCATTTTATTATATATAATTAGATTAATTATTTTTATAATTATGTAAATTGTCTAATTGGTAAAATATGTATATGTGCCTGTTTACACTGAGGTTCCCGGAGACGGCCTCTTATATAAACGTTATACTTTTTCATTGTTTTATAGGGAGATTATCTCTATGTAATTGTTTGTGCAGCATAATGCTAATGTACTTGTATCAGTAAAATGATCATGAAAGCAAATTTTGTTTTGATTGAACCATCAAAATAATTTATATTTGAATTTCTGCTATAACATCCATAATTCAACATTATTTATACAGCTGGTGGCACTGAAGACAGAAATACAAATACCCAAATGGTCGGTTAATGGGATATAAAACCTGTTGACCCCTGAGCACCTGGGCTGACCTCATCCAGAAGAGGGGAAGACATCCTGCCTCTTACTGAGCTAATGATAGCACTATTATTATTATTATAATTGTATCTAAGTGCTTAACCCATGAAGGTCATACAATGAGCAAATTTCATCTGTCTTTTAAACCCAGTCAAGGAAAGTTCCTTGATGCTGGTGAGAGGCTCTTGATCTAGGGAATTGGATCTGTGCTTCCCCCCACTCCACATACAGGCACTGTATGGCCCTCATGGGTTTAGCGCGTAGTTATGGCCCGGTTGGCAAAGCTCTCGCCTCACACAGTGTCAGGGGTTCAATCCCCGGCACGGGTGGAAACATTGGGCGTATTTCCTTACACCTGCTGTCCCCTAAACATGCAAAAAAAATGGCCCGATTTTGTGATGAAGGAGCTAAGTTGAAACAGCAAGTCATAAATGGGTGTTGTTGAACTATGGTGACGCATTCACGAGGGGGGGGGGGGGCTTCCCTGTTTTTCTGAAACTATTGGTAAAAAACTTTTGTTTTTACTCAGTCATAAATCAGCGAACTTTTGCAAGCCCTAGGGTAAACTGTCCTATATTACGTGTTTTGATTATTTGTCTTTGGTTTTTTTATTTTTTTGAATGAAACACAAGCGGGGGAAGCGGGCCTCAGCACGAAACCCCCGTCTTTGTGTTGCCCCCTTTTCATTCTTCTCCCACCAAAATTTTTTTAAAAATGGGTTTTTAATCCCACCAAATTTTTCTTCTTTCCTCTTTCTTTTCCCTTACTATAGCAACTATTAATTATTACTACAATTATTACTATTCTACTAAAAATTACTTTTATTTACTACTAAAACTATTTAACTTCTTCCACTGAAACAAAAATCCACTAGTATTCTATTTTCGTAAATATAAAAAACACTAATACATTTTAAATTGTCTATACAACACAACTTTTATTACTATTATCCACTACTTTTATGCTCCTTCAACTACTACTTTTACTCTACTACTATACTACATGTCTGTTTGCTATATTTATGACAAATAAGAACAAAAAATTTAACAATTCAACATGGGGAGACTATGAAAAAAGATTTGACATTTAATTATTTGATTTAATTTTATAATTTTTATACTGTATGTATTTATTTGTTATATATATCTGTATATTCATGAAAAAAATGAGAAATAAATCCTAATATAATAAAATAAATATTTTGATTTTTTTGCAAAAACGGCCAATTTTGTTTTATGAAGGAGCTAAGTTTAAAAAGAAGTCATAAATGGGCTGTTGTTGAAATAGGTGAGTATTTACGGGGGGGCGGGGCTTCCTTCTTTACTGAGTTCATTGGTAGAAACTTTTTGTTTAATCAGCCATCCCAAACAGCGATCTTGTTGCAAGCCCCGTAGGGTAATACTGTCCTATATTACAGTGTCTCTGATTGGCTGTTATTGGTGTTTATTTTTATGAATGGAACACAAGCGCGGGAAGCTGCCTCAGCACAGTAACCCGTCTTATGTGTTGCTCTTGACTCATTCTTACTCCCACCAAAATTTTCTTAAAAAATGTTGGTAATCCCCAAACGTTGTTTTCTTCTACCTACTTTTTCATTATTAATAACCATTATTACATGTGTACTGTACAATTATTATTTATTCTTCCACAAATACTAGTCCTGTTACTACAATAACTACTGCACTATTACATCCTGCTATTGCTACTTTATTCTTACTCCTGGTGCTACTACTGCTACTATTACTACTGTAATGTATTAGTACTATGAGTGCTACTGTATTAGTAGCACTACTACTGCTGTACTATTTTATATCTATTACTAATAATGTTACAACTGATACCAGTAATACTACTAACAGTAGTACTACTATTATAATTGCACTACTATTCTACCACTATCACATCTAACAGTACTACTTACTGTACCACTATTACTGCTATTGTTCCTTCAAGTACTACTACTAGTGCTACTATTAACCTGTACTGCTATTCAGTACTTGTTGTATAAATAAATGTATTTGCTGATCAATTAAGAACAACAAACTATATGTCAATAATATGTGAAACTATGTAAACATTTTGGTATTTAAATTATTTATATTTAATTTCATAATCTTTTATACTGTATATATTTATTTATGTCTATAATATACTGCATATTCATGTAAGAAAGTGAGAAATAAATCTTAATATAATTAATTTTAATATCATGATTTTCTTGCAAAAACTGCCCGATTTTGTGATGAAGGAGCTGAGTTGAAACAGCAAGTCATAAGATGGGTTGTTGTTGAACTATGGTGACGTCATTCACGAGGGGGGTGGGGCTTCCTGCTGCTTACTGAGCTCTCATTGGTAGAAACTCTTGTGTTTACATCAGGCATCCAATCAGCGATCTTGTTGCAAGCCCAGTAGGGTAATACTGTCCTATGTTACAGTGTCTCTGATTAGCTGTTATTGGTGTTTATTTTTATGAATGGAACACAAGCGCGGGAAGCTGCCTGAGCACAGTAACCCGTCTTATGTGTTGCTCTTGATTCACTCTTACTCCCACCAAAAATTTTCTTTAAAAAAGATGGCAAATCCCCAATTTTTCAAATCCCCAATTTTTCTACCTACTGCTTACTAACAACTATTATATGTATGTACTTACTGCTACTAAATACTATTTATTACTACTGTTGCTAAAGCCACCACTACTAACTACTACTACTAGTGTAATACTATCGCTAGTACTACTAATTGTACTTGTGGAAAATTGCATTTATCTGAATGTATCATTATATACATAACAGTAAATGAAAAAAAAGATAATTATTATTTATCAGTTAGACATATAGGAATTTGGGACACCTAGGTCGCAAAAAATGTCCCCCTTCGATACCTACCACTGTCATATCCACAAGTTGCTCTGGAATTATTAATTACCGTATTTCCGGAAAATATATACAGTATTTTTCACAGTACTACTACAACTATAATAACTTTTATTACTATTGTACCACTACCGCTACTATCACTGCTCTTTCAAGTACTACTACTAATACTGTCAAGTAGTAATAGTACTAGTAGTAGTAATACTAGTATTATTACTACTACTAGTACTATTAGTACTACTATTAGTACTACTAGTACTAATACTAGTACTACTACTACTACTACTAGTAGTATTATTTGTACTGCTACTCAATACTTATTGTATAAATATTTTTACTCATCAAATAAAGACAACAAAACTATACAATTACATGTATTTAATTTAACAATTTTTTATACTGTATGTATTTATTTATTGTGTCTATAATAATACTGTATATTCATGTAAGAAAGTGAAAAATAAAATATAAATAAACAAATTCATGATTTTCTTGCAAAAAACGGTCCAATTTTGTGATGAAGGAGCTAAGTTGAAACAGCAAGTCATAAGATGGGCTGTTGTTGAACTATGGTGACGTCATTCACGAGGGGGCGGGGCTTCCTGTCTTTACTGAGCTCTCATTGGTAGAAACTCTTGTGTTTACATCAGTCATCCAATCAGGGATGGTGTTGCAAGCCCAGTAGGGTAATACTGTCCTATATTACAGTGTCTCTGATTAGCTGTCATTGGTGTTCATTTTTATGAATGGAACACAAGCGCGGGAAGCTGCCTCAGCACAGTAACCCGTCTTATGTGTTGTTCTTGATTCACTCTTACTCCCACCAACATTTTCTTAAAAAATGATGGTAAATCCCCAAACAAATAAATAAAAGTTTTTCTACCTGCTGCTAACAACTATTACATGTACTTACTGCTACTAAATACTATTTATTACTACTGTTGCTACAACTACAACTACTACTAGTGATATACTAACACTAGTACTACTTCTAATTGTACGACTAGAAGTATAACTTTTATTACTATTACTACCAGTACTATCACTGCTCCTTCAAGTACTACTACTAATACTCCTTCAAGTAGTAGTAGTAGTAGAAATACTAGTACTACTACTGGTATTATTTGTACAGCTATTCAGTACTTATTGTATAAATATAAATAATTTTTTACTGATCCGATAGAGACAACACAAACTATACAGTTACTTGTATTTAATTTAATAATTTTTTATATTGTATGTATATTTATTGTGTCTATAATAATAATACTGTATATATTATTCATGTAAGAAAGTGAAAAATATAATATAAATAAATATAATTCATGATTTTCTTGCAAAAAACGGTCCAATTTTGTGATGAAGGAGCTAAGTTGAAACAGCAAGTCATAAGATGGGCTGTTGTTGAATATGGTGACGTCATTCACGAGGGGGGCGGGGCTTCCTGTCTTTACTGAGCTCTCATTGGTAGAAACTCTTGTGTTTACATCAGCATCCAATCAGCGGATCTGTTGCAAGCCCAGTAGGGTAATACTGTCCTATATTACAGTGTCTCTGATTGCTGTTATTGGTGTTTATTTTTATGAATGGAACACAAGCGCGGGAAGCTGCCTCAGCACAGTAACCCGTCTTATGTGTTGCTCTTGACTCATTCTTACTCCCACCCAATTTTTCGTAGAAATTTTTGCTTAGTTGGCACTAAATATTTATTTAACCGATATTGAAATATGCAAATCATCTTTGCGATGTTAATACGAATAAATCTATTATATTATTTGGGTGTTGTACCAGTTTTTATTTTTTGAGGAACTGTTTTGGTCATGCTAGTCTTTTGACAAACGTTTTTTTCACGGAATTAAATCACAACTAAGCGCTAAACCCACAAGGGCCATACAGCGCTATACATTTCACGGAAATTAATTACATGATGATCCTTAACTGAAGGAAGGAAGGAGTAAAGGCAAATTGAAGAC